CTTCTCGTGGCGTTGGTACACAGTGGTAGATCTACGTGGTGCAGATCGATTTGAGCGAGCCCAGCATATGGGTTGAACACCCGAACATCACGAAGGGTTCGCTCAAATCGACTGCCCCACAAACCACTGGCAGCCACATCCACAGCCACAAATTATAATGATTTTCCAGGTCCAACCGACAGTCTGATGATTGCTTCGACATGACACTTTGAGTTGCAACACATAATGTGACATTCCACTTGAATCCTCTCTCTTTATGCGAAAAGGCTCTGCGCTTTGCGCATTGAGCACCTTTCAATTTCAGGAAGTTTGACAAACCTTTCTGTGACTGCAGTCGATGCATGTACATGTACATGTACATGTACACTCTATTTGATGTTCTTGCCTGAAACCTGGTGTAAGCGACCTCTGGGTTACCGTTTAGCGACCACCTGCTCTTAACGACCGTTTTTCCATGCACCGACAGTTCTACACACACACTGTGGGACCTGGTTCTAAAGACCACCTTGTTTTAACGACAGCTATGCTTGCGCCATGGGGTGGTCGCTTAATAAAAAGGTTTTACTGTAGTACATTAGTACATTGGACATTTGATGCAAATCCGTTGGATTACCCCATACTCAATCGTGTGTATGTGCCAGTATGTCAGTGTCGATGTCATGTACAATGGCTTCCACACAAAAGACACAAAGAGGGTTTGTAGAGGTCATAAAGACTCATAATTTTATGCTGATCTGGCAATACATGCGCTTGTACTTGCGCAAGAGTAAACATGTTACGCAAGTTGTCAGTTTTGGCAATGTCCCCCAGAGATTTAGGACAGCAGGTGGAAATATGAAAATCGTCGCTGTCACTGTCAAAAGAGTTCTCTGAGTGTCTGGAATGCAGTCTGGCCACACACGCGAACTGTCGGAGACCGTTGCGCAACAGTCAATACGGAGGATAAGCAAGACGAAATTCGTGTTCGTGTTCGCACTCCAAGGAAAGTCGAGCTCAGTGACGGCATTCGCGTTATGAGAAGGATTAGCGAACAGCATTCGCACATGCATGACGTTCACACATCGTACATTGTGTACAGACAGCACAGCATAGTAAATGTATGACAGTCCTGAGTCCTGACACGAATCCGCGAGGTGACATGCATCTTCCCTCGCAAACATTGTCAGAAGAGGAAATTATTAAATTTTGATGGAGTCTTCGGTCGTTTCGGTCGTTCTGTGTACAGGTAAGCGGAGTTCAGAGTTAATAGAGAGGTTAAGTTACACGTTTTTTGCCCTTTTTCAAAACGCGGTGCAAATCTCACGTTACGTGTAATTTTTAGAGGTTAAGTTACACGTGTGACGTGACGTGAAATTTTCCCTGGCAGGATTCGGGTTTAGTTCGCACAAATATCAAATCTTCCAACAAACTCGATAAATCTCGATAAAATTCCGGAAACTCACACAAATTCGGTCGGGATAACCAAGCGAAACTTCCAAAAACTCACGTCATGAACTTACGTGCGGGACAGTCAACTCACGTAAAACACGTCAAATTTTACGTGAGTTTTTTCACTTTTTGACGTAAAAGTTCACGGACGTAAGACTTTTACGTGAAACTTAACCTCTCTATTCCTGAAACAGACGCGTGTTTCAGCCCACATGATGTGTATGTACATGTATTTGCTTCAACTACAATGTACGCTATTCAGTAGCCATCCACTGTGTTCCATGTTCACCCTAGCCCATAACTTCTCATTATTTCATCAGCTGCACTACAATTCTACACGCAGTTTAAAGTCATCTCATAGATGCCATGATGCAGGCACGGTTGTCCAGGCTTCACGCGTCGTTGAACGGACGGTACGCGGTGCTCTCTTGCAGTCAGTCCTCGTTGGCATACGAGACGAGCAACAAAGAAAGTAACATCAATGCATAATGTCACATGATTGTAGTACATTGTACATGTATGGTATTGGCACTGCTACAGTACAACTGTGACAATTGTGCAGCGCTTGGCAACGAGAGCTGGACGTGGCGTAACACAGCAACATGCTGACTGGCCTGGGTGGCAACTTGGTGACGCCGACAAGTAATGGTTATTAACATTAGTATACGTAGCCCAAGTCCCCAATGAAACCCGCAAGGCCATACGCAGAAACCGGTGGCAAAACTCCAACAGGTACTCATCGTACATTGTACATTGTACATTGTGGCTTCACGGGGGCCTGGGGAACGCTGCAACACACACATCGGTAGTACCAAGATGAGAGTACAGTGCATGTACATGTACAATGTACATACTCCCCGGCCCCCAACAATTCATGAACATACACACGCGCACAAACACACACACACCACGCACGCGCGTGCGCGCACACACGCACACACAAACACACACACACACACAGGCGAGCTGGTGTACAATCATGTACATGTAGATAAAGATTTGGATCGAATACTAGTACATTGTAGGGGAACAGGAAGGTGGATGCACTCGTAATGTTGTGGGTGGAGCGCCACCTTCAACCAATCACAGGTAAGTGACTTTCAGCATCGGACTGCTTCATGTCTATCTGCTGACAAGACACGGCTTGGCAGGCGGGCGGGGGGGAGCGGACTTTTTGACTTCTCTTGTTGAATGTTCTCTCAACAACTGGGGGCATGGCCAGCGCTAAAGCCTTCTCTAGGCGCGGCAGGCTCAGTGTTGTCATGGAGGAACCGTTGAGCTGGGTACATCAGTTGGATATGTTGTCACCTATAATATCTCAATGATCTGGATCCGCCTGGCCTCCGCCCTCCTAGGCTCCTCCGGTCAACATTGATTATGCATGTCCTGGGGGGGGGGGGGGGGCTCAGCGTTTTCCTGGCATCAGGGGATGGAGTACCCGTCTCCAGATGCTCTCGATTCTAAAGCACTGCTTGCTGGCAAGTAGCTAGCACAAGCAATAAGTACTGGCTGGGTAAGTACTGGATCTGCCACGAATGAAGTTATCATTGTGTGCAGACATGGTGACATGGTGACATGGTGACATGGTGAATTTTCATCTTCTCTAAAAGTAAACACTTCGAAGGAGCACATACTGTACTTCAGGTTCTTCAGCAGCAATGTTTTGAAGTGAAGTGGTTGGCTAACACCCTCTCTCTTTGTATTGGCCGGTGTTCTCACTGTGCTATGAGATGCTGTAATAAATAAATAAATAAATAAATAAGTGTATCCATGAGTATACTTCCGTTCCAAGCCTTCTCTTCAGGTGCAATACAGGCAAATTAAAAAAACAACAAAGGAAAAAGGACGTTGCACTAAGTATAGTAGAAAATGTACAAGTGATGGAACAGCGCAAAGAAGAATACCAGTAGCTAAAAACAACTATACGAAATAGTGGTTGCGACTTCGGCGATGATTTGAAAGAAAAGGTTTCAAGTGGCAAGTCAAGTCGGCGGAATAGCGCGAGCTCCAGTGTGGAGAGCAAACAATTATGAATAAAAACACAACGATGAAATGCGTATGACTAGGGGTAAGCGGATTGTGCCGGCATAATTTTTGGCATAATCAGGTCCTTTTTTAGAAGGAGCATAACATTGCATCCGAAAAACAAGGGCAGACGCCCAATGAGGCTGTTATAATTTATACACACCTGCTATTGAAGAACCATACATAGCGCTTCTTGTCGATTTGGAATAATATTTTAGCAGCCACTATAGGACGTCTCTCAAAAGTTCAGCGTTTGTTTGTGAATTTGGTATCCCTCTTGCATATGATTGTCTTGTACTTCCACAAAGCTTCCAGTCCACATCGTGACAATGGTCTGAATCTCATTTTCATGACGATTATTAGATTCTGTTCTTTTGGTCTTTTTGGTGAAGTATATAAAAGCATGTGGATGTGGCAAATGGGATTTAGGCCTTTGGCCTAGGGTTGGTGGATCTGATCTATCCTCCCCCACCGTTTAGGAGCCGCATCTGACGCCTGATCATGGGGTGGTGGCGTCCCACGGAAGCGGAAAGGTGGTTCTTGACCAGGGAGTTGTACGACTCCTTGTTCTTGACCTGCCCGGTACGCGAACCCGTCGAATTTATTATTATTATTTTTATATAAAAGCATAATTGGCTGTTTTCTCGAGCATCTGCTAGAGCATAGTCTGGTCATTTCCCGAGCACAATCCGCTTACCCCTACGTGTGACCCACACATAATGATACTATTATTGAAGAAAGAATGGCAAAAAGTGTAGAATGAGGAATACAGTGGTATACATATAGATTTGGGAGACCTTATAACCAGACGCAGATTAGTCTGTAATCTAGTGTCTAGTATACGCATGCATCAAAGTTATCTCCCACAAACAGCCAATAAGATTGTCTGTTTGTGGGAGATACAATGCAACTAGTTCAGTAATAATTGTTCGATTCCCACCATTGTTCCACATAACCGATTTTGATGATGTTGAGCTTGCTGGAAAGCTCTTGGAGAGAAGAGAACAACGCAACGATCCTGAACACATCAAGAGGATGCAGTGACATCACTATCCGTTGCCTTAGCACCGGGGAAGCGAGGAACGAACGGTGAGTGGGAATTATCACCGACTCGCTGTCTGGGTTGTCTGGGTTGGGCCAACCTTCTCGTCCTCGGCGAATTGTCTGTAACCCTTACCCGCTTCGCACGGTGCATGTGAGACGCTAGAGGCTAGAGGATCAGCGAAATCATTATAAGTTATAACGTAATACTAAAAGCGCTGAGCTGAACACTCCACTGTCACGAAGATGTGATGTAATGCGGTCTCCAACCGGGATTCCCGGCATGCAATGCTTGTCTACACATACATGTAGATCTACAAGTACATGATTGTATTGTAGGCCAGTTGTGAAAGCCTTCAATTCACTGCTAGACTTCCTCGAAAATATGCGATGGTAGATCGACCGGTATGCGCTGCCTGCATGCATGCACAGCTAGCTTTCTCTGATACGGAACGTTCGGACCAGTTTGCACACACAACAACTCCACTGTCCCAGTGTCACTGACCTCTAGCTCTGTCCACTGCACTGCTGCCAACACATGACTCATTGAGGTTTTCCAAATGGCATGATCAATCATGGAAGGTGATGTCCATTGTCACTTTTCGGTGGCAAGAACGCTTAGCCCAGCTAGATTCCAACTTTGACCATTCCCTATCATTACAGCGAACTACTCACTGGTCCGTGTGCGACGTTGTTTTCATAATTAAATTTTGTAGCTCCACCTGACAGCCTGAAGTCTGAACTGGGATGTGAGGTTTGTGCAGAGTGAATAAGGCAATGCTCACTTCCTCGAAACCGCTCAGTTGCGAGTGGCGAAGTTGCCAGATTGTTCGTCTATCGTTTTAGAATAAACGGTGTGTATCAGCCCTTACAGCGCAGTCCTTGACTTTTCCATTGCCTGAACTCGCCGGTGACCAGTGATGCCTCATTTCAGACGTAAAGGTAGCTCCAGTCCATCAAGAGCGTCGAAGAAAGTGCAGGGCTGTCGCGGAAGTTTGAATGATGGACTTCGTACCGGTCATGAGCAAGATGCTCACACCACTCTAGGCGAGGCCAGGACGACCGACGAAAATCCAGTCACAAACAACACGAACCTGGGTAATGATTCGGCAATGATGGACAGCAAAGACAGTTTATCAGTTTTCCGAGCCAGTTCTCCGGCTACCGAACGCTCGTGTCCCGTTTGTTGTGCGGTGTTGGCGGCTGATAACTTCCCGGCCATGACACTCGCATGCACACACAGTACGTGTCGCTCGTGTCTTGAGACGTATTTCAAGCAGGAGATTATGGAGTCCAGAACAGGATTGAAATGTCTGCAGTGTGAAAACGAGTTCGAAGCTCACGACATCACCCGGATCCTGTCACAAAGTGAGAATCCAGAGCTGGTGGACAGATACCTTGAGTTTACGCTGCGTCGTTCCCTGGCGAGTATGCCTGACATTCGCTGGTGTCCCGCACCCGATTGTGGCTATGGTGTGATCGCTAACAACTGTGCAAGCTGTCCAAAGTTAACGTGCAAACGACCAGAGTGCGGGACAACATTCTGTTACTTGTGTGAAAGGGTAAGCCGATAGGCGATACTGACGATAGTGTCAAACCCCGGTTAAACCCCGTTTTGCATTTGAATGCAGTGTGAAACCCTGTTTTACATCGGCTTGCAGTGTGAAACCTCTGGTTTACATGGGCAGGCAATTTTTAAAAACCTCGAATTTACAATGGCTGGCCGTATGAAACCTTGGTTTACGTGCGTAGCGTGACAGTGAAACCCTAGTTTCGCATGGGGTTGGCAGACTGTCGCAGTGTAAAACCCCTGTTTTACATGGTCTGGGAGTGTGAAAACCTAGTAACGATGATGAACGAAGAAAGCCAGAGCCGCACATAGTAGGAACAACGCCGACCCCACATGTAAAGTAAAAACCTGGGACTAACGACCACCACTTGGGGGCAGAGAAAGCGGTGTATAGTGGCAGGTAGTCCTTACTGATCTTAGTTAGAGATTTGCACCGCATAACCACAATTATATGAATGTGAGACCGTCCGTGCCTGGTAAAGTGGTGTGTAGCACCAGGCTGGTCGCTAGTCACGGTGGCCTTTAGTTACACGTTTTCCTGTACGTGATTGTATGGCTTGGCATTCGCAGTATCAAGCATCTACCATACCTGGTATGAACGTCAGTTTCCTATAGCGGCACGTGCACGTCCTGAGAAACTGGGAATGGGTCCGGCAACGTCTGGACAATTTAGTCTTGAAACATTAATTTTCTGCTTTTGTGCCGCTGTGCCCTCAGGGGTTCTTGCACCTTGCCACAGGGTGCATGTAGCACAGGGATTTCTAGACTTTCGGGAGCATTGCTGTTCCTCTTTTTTGTGTTCTCAGGAGTGGCATCCCAGAGAGACATGTCTTGAAGCTTTCACGCGGCATTTGAGAGAGAGCATGCCAGAAACGAATATTGCAGAGGATGCCGACAAGACCAAAGCTACTACAACTTCGGCAGCAGCGTCATCTTGGTGGCAACGGCGAAGAAGTCGGAGGTCACGCCAAGGAGACAAGGCAAATAAGGAAGGTATGTAGCATTATGAGATGTGCATGCATACATTTGTCTGTGTGCGTGTGCCCACATGTGTGTGCGTCTGTGTGTGCGTCTGTGTGTGCGTCTGTGTGTGTGTGTATGTGTGTATGTGAGCGTGTGTGTGTGTGTGTGTGTGTGTGTGTGTGTGTGCACCACGAGCCTGATGTAAAACACACACATTCCACTGTACACAGTGGAATGTGCCGCTCCCAGATTTTTGTCACAAAATAAAGATGTGACATCCAGCTTGAATTTCGGGGTTCATTTCTGACAATCGTAGTACAAGCTGCACCGGCTTTTCTTTTGGAGGAATTAAGAGTATTTATTTTGCAGCTTCTACTCCGGAAAATGGGACAATTACAGTAAAACCTCTCAAGGCGACCACTTGCATAAGGCGACCACCTGTCCTAGAAAACCAGGATCAAGGAATGCTATCTCCAGTCAAATGACCCTGGATAAAGAGACCACCAGGTAATGGAGACCACGTTTTGACGGTCCCGTGAGCGGTCGTCTTAGACAGGTTTGACTGTATAACTATTGTTTTTGTCACTTTTGTGTTGTGTGCAGAACCATTGCTGGTAAAGCTATGCCCGCATTGTCGTGCAAAGATCAGCAGGCATGAGAAGGGCTGTAATCAAATGCATTGCTGGGTCTGCAGTCATGAATTCTGCTGGCTGTGCCTGCAGTCGGACTACGACGGGCACTTCTTTCGGTGAGCGACACTGGATCTCCCGTTTGCTACGTGTATTTTCTGTTGGAGCTGTGCGTATTGTGTGTGTGTGTGGGGGGGGGGGTGTGGTGTATGTGTGTGTGTGTGGGGGGGGGGGATGTATGTGTGTGTTTGTACATGTGTATGCGGGTGAGTGTATGTGCATATCTATGGACTCGTAGTCTGTGTGTTGTGTGGAATCGCATTACTATGAAACACTGCCACAACTTGTACCCCTTTCTGGCCATGTTTTGGAGGTGAGTATGGGGGGAGGGGGGTGAGTTTTTCTTGCCCCCAGGTCATATGTACTCTTGGTAGAGGTAACCCATCCTGGACAGATGCCAAGACAACGACTCGTGCTAATATTGTGTTTTTTGTGTGTGTTTTGTGTGTGTGTGTGTGTGTGTGTGTGTGTGTGTGTGTGCGCGTGTGTGAATACGTGTATGTGTGTGAATACGTGTGTGTGCGTACGTGCGTGTGTGTGTGTGTGTGTGTGTGCGTGTGTGTGTGTACGTGTGTGTGTGTGTGTGTATGTGTGTGTGTGTGTTGCCGCCCCAGTCCTACAGGTTGCACTTACAAAGGGTCAAAGACCTGGAGTCGACCGAGCACCGTCGCGGCCCAAGTGCTGGCGATAGCCGGAGCACCGCTGGGTCTGGCCGCCTTGATGGTGGCCATACCACCGATCGTGTTCTACCAACTACCCGCTATACTGGTGCATGTTGTAAGTCTAGCACTAGTGCAGTAAAACCTGTAACTAAAGACCACTGTGACTAGCGACCAGCCTGGTACTACAGACCACCGTGACTAGCGACCAGCCTGGTACTACAGACCACCGTGACTAGCGACCACCCTGGTACTACAGACCACCGTGACTAGCGACCAGCCTGGTACTACAGACCACCGTGACTAGCGACCAGCCTGGTACTACAGACCACCGTGACTAGCGACTAACCTGGTACTAAAGACCACCGTGACTAGCCACCAGCCTGGTACTACAGACCACCGTGACTAGCGACTAACCTGGTACTAAAGACCACCGTGACTAGCCACCAGCCTGGTACTACAGACCACTTTGCCAGGCACGGACGGTCTCACATTCATATAATCAAAATGTTATGGTTGTGCGGTGCAAACCTCTAACTAAGGACTACCTGCCGCTTAAGACCGCTTCCTCTGGCCCCGAGGGGTGGTCGTTATTCACAGGTTTTACTGTACATAAAATACTACTCAAAGACCTTTCTTGAAAATCGAAGATGATCCGGAGAAGAATAAGAGTAACAGTTAATGGTAGCAGCAGTAGTACGAAATAGTGGTAGCGACTTCGGCAATAATTTTATAGGAAAGCGTTTACTCCCCACAATGAAGCTGGCGCTTTTTCACCGACTTTACTTAGCACTTGACTGACTTGCGACTGCCGTCCAGAGCACACGAGAAGTCCATCGAACCTTGCACTCGGCAAACGTGCCAGAAAACACCACTCCCTACTCGAAACATCATGTTTACAAGCGTTTTCAGCAGGGCGTGGTGCTTTCTTGCAGGTTTGCCGAGTCGAATGTTCGCCACCCTGGGATATCAGCTTAGATCTTCTAGCTAATGTGGCTGTTGCGTGGTGAATCAGTTTCGTGAAGGTTTCCCCTATTCTCGAGAACTTGTGCTTTCGGGAATGATTCTTTGTATGAGTATGTTTTTAACCCCACCCTGACTCTACTTCAGAATACATTGTACACGAATCTCCTTCTTCAGCTCCCTATTTCTCTCCATTTTCTCTCTCTTTCTCTCCTTTCCCTCTTCTCTCTCTCTCTCTCTCCCTCTCTCTCTCTCTCTCTCTCTCTCTCTCTCTCTCTCTCTCTCTTTCTCTCTCTCTCTCTCTCTCTCTCTCTCTCTCTCTTTCTCTCTCTCTCTCTCTCTCTCTCTCTCTCTCTCTCTCTCTCTCTCTCTCTCTCTCTCTCTCTCTCTCTCGCTCTCATTCTCTCTCTCCTTCCCTGTCTAGTTCTCTTTTTTTTCTTCTCTTTCTGCACATCCACACCCACACATAGCCAGACAGACAAACACACACACACACACACACACACACACACACACACACACACACACACACACACACACACACACACACACACACACACACATATATACAAACACTACTATTATAGCCAACCATCTTTCTCTCACTGTTTGCCATTTTGCTCTCTCTTTTCATAGGCATCCATCCGAGAATACGAGACGCCCGCACGGAAGCGCCTGGCGATCGTGCGCTCGGCATTGACTGGCATCGTCCTCTCTCCCTTCGTGGCAGTGCTCGGCATAGTACTTGCTATACCACTTGGCCTGGTGTACGCCTACGGGTACATGCCCTACAAGATGGTCAAGCGAGGTCCGGAACTGTCGCCGCATCGCTTCGGTATCGACGTCGATGACGCCGAGCTGTGCCTGTACGTGACGGTGGACGCGGAGAGCGAAGATAGCATGCCTTATCCGTCCAACGTGGCCAGGAACCCATTCAGTGGTGCCATTGAGATCGTTGTCTAGCCTGCAGCCCATGACTGGCAGGCAGCAATTAACTGTTTTCAAGTGTACAGTAAATCTAATAATTATAATCACAGAGGATCACAAAGGATGAAACAGTTCTGTCCGCAAATTGATTAGTAAATTATACAGTCATGTATTACCATACTCACTGCTTTAGGAGCTGCATTTGCACCTTGATCCTTGAGGGCAGTGACATTTCTGTGGATGCGAAAAAAAAACTCAGTCGGAGTCCCACGCGCACCACGATGTTTTTTCATACTGTAGGTACGTATTAAACGGGTTTTCACACAGTAGGTACGTAGTAAAAGGGTTCTCACACAGTAAGTACGTAGCAAGGGGGAGTTCTGTTGCAACTCTAAGTTTTACATCTACTCACGAACATCAGGCACTTCTTTTTACTTTTCCCCTTAAATTCCTGCCTTCGCAATGGATTTACTTCCTTCTTCGTCTTTACTAAAAATGAAGCACCCAAACCACGGCTGCCACTAGACACCGTTTCTCCCGGTTTGTTGCACCCGCTCTGATTGATAACCCATAGTACTGTCTCTCTCTTATTGGCTACGCCGGGCCATCGTGAGAATAAAGATAATAATAATAATAAAATTGTGCTCTACACCAGCTTAGGAGAGCTTGCTACATGTACATGTACGTACAATCATGTCACGTGATATTATTATGTACGTGTAGATTGATAAAAAGTAGTGGTTGCGACTTCGGCGATGATTTGTAAGAAAGGGCGCGAGCTCCAGTGTGGGGAGCAAACCCTTTCTTATGTAGATTGATACACAGGGTGGCCAGGATAGCCTGTACATACCAGTACATGCTAGTAGTGGGGGACGAGCAGGTTTGCTCGTAATTTTGAGGTTCACAATAGAACAATTAATCATTGGGTCCAATGTTATTAGGCAATATGCCTGTTTTGATTTCCACTTTGAAAAAAAAAGTATACAACAACAACAACAACAACAACAACAACAACAACAACAACAACAACAACAACAACAACAACAACATTGTAGCAGTGCTGTGACATAGCAATATGATGAAGCTGCATTGAAGTCTTCATCAAAAAATTTTAGGACTTTTTTTTCTTTCTTTTTTTACAGAATGCACCTCCTAGTGATAGACCATAACAAAGAGAGGAGAAGAAGAAGACAAAAGAAGATAATGATCGAGACAACAAAGGAGAAAGACAGACAATGTACTAGTAGGGGCTCTCAGGGAGCCTGTGCCGGTGAGGCGGGACTAGCAACGCCGACCTAGGGTCTCGGCGTTAGCGCTATCCAGCGCACCATGGACGGGATTACGAAACACATGTAAATAGATAAGTGAGGGGGAGGGAGCTGATTGTGGATATATGGGGTGTTACAGCGAGTCTGTGGTATGGGGTGTTACAGCGAGTCTGTGGTATGGGGTGTTACAGCGAGTCTGTGGTATGGGGTGTTACAGCGAGTCTGTGGTATGGGGTGTTACAGCCAGTCTGTGGTATGGGGTGTTACAGCGAGTCTGTGGTATGGGGTGTTACAGCGAGTCTGTAGTATGGGGTGTTACAGCGAGTCTGTAGTATGGGGTGTTACAGCGAGTCTGTGGTATGGGGTGTTACAGCGAGTCTGTAGTATGGGGTGTTACAGCGAGTCTGTAGTATGGGGTGTTACAGCGAGTCTGTAGTATGGGGTGTTACAGCGAGTCTGTAGTATGGGGTGTTACAGCGAGTCTGTGGTATGGGGTGTTACAGCGAGTCTGTGGTATGGGGTGTTACAGCGAGTCTGTGGTATGGGGTGTTACAGCGAGTCTGTGGTATGGGGTGTTACAGCTTCATGAAGTTCAATCATGTACATGTACATGTATAATTATTATTATTATGTAGAACCCGAGGTGCAGCCGGTGTATGCGCAATGTACAGTGAAGCCACGGTGATTTGGGTGGCGCTGCTGTATGTGCCGCGGCTACTAAGAACCACACACGTGGGTGCTTCAATTAGGTTTCAAAAGGGCTTTAGGTGACCTCTTCGTAAATGAGGGGTGGTCTTTAAAGAATGGTCTCCACACAACGTGACAGGTGGTCGCTAAAGAAAGGTCTACACAGTACACATACAGGTGGTCTTTAAAGAAAGGTCTCCATATCCAGGTGGTCACTAAAGAAAGGTCTCCACATAAAGGTTGTCTCAAGGGGCGGGTGCCTTTCACAGCAGGTTGGTTAGTTGTCTTTCAAAGCCATACTACCCTGGGGCCTCCGGACTCGCTATCAGTCATAGCCTCTTTTACGGGAATAATAAACACGAAGAATAGATTTCCCAAGTACTGCTTATAATTACTTCGAAGTATCAACAAAGGAATTCCACCTCCACCAAACGCGCTCTCTCTGGCCGACCTCACACACCAGCAACATGCAGGCTCCAAGTTGACTCCAACTTAATAAACAGGCCGAATGCTGCTGATTACCGTTTGAGAACAAGAACTGTTTCAGCATGATGAGTGTAAGTTCCTGTCTTAGTAGATCTACTGCCAAGTCCATGTACAGTGAAACCTGTCTAAGACGACCGCTAAAGGGACCTTCAAAACGTGGTCTCTGTTACCAGGTGGTCTCCATATCCAGGGTCATTTGACTGGAAATGGCATCCCTTGATCCTGGTTGCAGTGGTCTTACAGGACAGGTGGTCGTCTTATCCGAGTGGTCGCCTTTGACAGGTTTTACTGTACATGTACCATGGCATGTGTACAGTTCTGCTATCGGTGGAATGACGGACTAGTTGGTATCGTGTGTGCGTGCGCGCGTGTGTGTGTGTCTGTCTGTCTGTAAGACTTACTTGGCCCCACCGGCATCTGTACTGCACTAATGACATAATTATTTTGTCTGTAATGATCGGCAAACATGACGCCCATTGCGAAGCACTGACTGTAGGATTATACTGCATGATCTACTGTCTGCTGACTGGCCACAGAACAGAGCCTGAGAGTGAGAGGTGTGGATCAACATGCAGCGGAGTCCACTCCCCAAAATAGAACTGGTGCAGTTAGCACACACCAAGACCGGACCATCAGGCTCAGCTTAGGCATTCCAAGAACAGTTCTGGGAACTGATCAGCGTCTGGACAGGTCTGGCACAGCCGTCAGGCGATGACTCATTGAGGTTTAGCAACATGACTGTCATCATGCGCTGGAAGGGTTAGGTCACTGCAGACAGAACAATCATTATTACAGGTACATGACTGTACGGTCTGTACTCAGACTGTAGAACTCAGACTGTCTGTACACCTATACCGCACGTCGATGTAGGTGCTGTCGATGTCCGAAACACTTCGGCAGGCCGATGCCGACTGTCGTCCAGTCATTTTCGTCCTTTGGAAGTACAACAAGTAGCTTTACTGAGCTTCCAGCTCAAGGCTGGCGTAGCGGCCACAGCGGGAGGTTTGTTGACTCCATAGTCCATACCAGTCGGTAATAAATAATATAAGGTAATAACCATCTCTCGGAAACCAGCCATTAGTTTTGGTAGCAGCAGCGGGATTATTTTTCCATCTCCGTGGTGGCCTTGAGACTGCTGAATAACAAGTTCTGAGCCTCGGAGAAAGTCCTTGACGTTTCCATAGCCAGAACATAGGCGATAAATTTAGAGAGCCATGCCTCGGTGTACACAGAGTGGTGGCGCAGGGGCCGAGGGCGTCACGGCTTCGAAGAAGCAGAACGCGCAGGGTCGTCGTCGAAGTTTGCGTGACCTTTTTCGTCGGGGCCGCAAGCAACAAGCTCCCAGCACACTCGATGAGACAGCGACGACCCCTGAAGACCCTCTTATAAGCAGCAGCAACAGCAGCACGACACTGGAGCAGGATTCGCTAGTGGACAGCAAAGACAATCAAAAGGCGCATTGTGATGATGAGGCGGACAACAATGGATCCGCTCCTCCGGCTACCGAACGCTCGTGTCCCGTTTGTTGTGCGGTGTTGGCGGCTGATGACTTCCCAACCATGACACTCGCATGCACACACAGTACGTGTCGCTCGTGTCTTGAGACGTACTTTAAGCAGGAGATTATGGAGTCCAGAACAGGATTGAAATGTCCGCAGTGTGAAAACGAGTACGAAGCTCACGATATCACCAGAATCCTGTCACAAAGTGAGAATCCAGTGCTGGTGGACAGATACCTTGAGTTCACGCTGCGTCGTTCGCTGGCGAGTATGCCTGACATTCGCTGGTGTCCCGCACCCGATTGTGGCTATGGTGTGATCGCTAACAACTGTGCAAGCTGTCCAAAGTTAACGTGCAAGCGACCGGAGTGCGGGACAACATTCTGTTACTTATGTGAAACGGTAAGAGATGAAATGCTTTCTGAGAAAGCATGCATCCATGACATAGCCACATAGAGACTTGGTAGTTGTGACCGTTCTACGCAGGCGGGCGGTGGGGGGAGGGGGGGGGGGAAACTACGAAAGAAACTTCGGTGTAATAGTTGTTTTGTAAACGGATGTGAGCGCGGCGTATACTGCGGAAAATACAGTTTTCGCATCAGGTGCTGGACCCTAGGTTTGCACGCCGGGTTGGATTCCAGGGAGCTCAACTCTTTTGTCTTTGTGTGTGCTTTCAGGAATGGCATCCGTGCGAGACGTGCGTTGAAGCGTTCACACGACGTCTCAGCGAGAGCATGGAGACTGCGATCGCCGCAGAGAATGCCGGAAGGAACGCACGTTCGGCCGCACCAGGAGCAGCAGCAACATCATCCCTGTGGAAGAGGCGAGGCTGGACGTCGCATGGCAAGCATCAGTATGCTGATGAAGGTGTGTAAAATGGTGCGAGGTGCACCTTTCCTTCTTCGGCTCTCTCCTTCTCTTTCAATTCATACTGTACATGTTTTTAGAAGTTTTCCTTTCTCTTAAGTTAACACAGACCTACTGGAAACACATGTGGGGAACAAAAAAGAAACAAGAAACAAGACACAACATAGGTTATAGGGGATCATTGTGTAGCCTCACATTGATTACCATGCCTGGCTGTGCGTGTGTGCGACCCCCCCCCCCCCCAACTTATGTCTCTGTTATTGTTGTTGAAATTTTATTTCGTATCGAAGACCAAACGGACGATGATGCTCCAGGGGCGTCGGAAGGTATTTTAGTGTGGTACGGTCAGCCATCTGAAGTACAGTTTACAAGTGGAGGAGGGTTGGCCGAGCCGAAAATTTTGGGAAATTAGAGCCCAGATCAGTGCATTTTGTTGATTCACGGGGCACCTGCGGGCAAAAAGTGGCACGGTCAATACAGTAGTGACCATACCGTGTGCGACGCCCCTGTGCTCAATAATATTATGATGGTGATAAGGTACAGGCCAAAAGCCAGTCTACCTATATCTCTCACACACAAACAGACATACATGCAAATGCATGCATACACACACATGCACACACACAAGCAAACTCACTCATACACAAGCACAAACACACACGTTCGCACGCACCCCCCCCCCCCGCACCACACACACACCCTCACACGCGTGCACACACACACACACACAAGTACGCACCCCCCCCCCCCCCCCGCCCACAAACACACAAACACACACACACGTACGCACCCCCCCCCCCCCGCCCACAAACACACAAACACACACACCCTATCTCTCCCTCCCTGTCTGTCTCCCCATCTTGTTTGCTAGCGCGACTGCTCCGCTTCTCTTCCCCTATCACCGAATGTCGTTTGCTTGTCTTCTCTACCTTCAGGTGTGCTATTGGTGAAGCTATGCCCTAGCTGTCGCACAAAGATCTGCCTCGCTGTCGGCTCATGCAATGAACTGATGTGTCCACAGTGTTTGCACTCATTCTGCTGGCTATGTCTACAGTCACTTATGGATGATCTGCATTTCTTAAGGTGAGCTCACAGCAACCAGGGTCCGGGAATACCGTATGCTCCAGAGTATAAGCCGAACTTTAAACACTTTTTAGAACACCAATTATTCACCACCCCCCCCCCCCCCCCCAACCCACACACACACACACACACACACAAATAATAATAATCATCTTCACTAGTTTGAGGGAAAGAGACAAACGGGAAAAGTCTGAAAAAAAATTGACTGTCATCACCAGGATTCGAACCAGGGACCCTCGCTATAAAAATAATAATAATTCTCGTCTACCTTCCAAAGGGAACTCACGACAATGGAGTAACAAAAGCACCGCGGCAGAGAAAGAAAAGAGAAGATATTATTTTGACGAAAATGATCACGGGGGGGGGGGGGGGGCAGTATAAAACTGAATAGCTGGTACATGAGCATGGACACGCATATGGTTGGTAGTAGTAGTACATTTACGAAATTTAGGGTCGCGGAAACCGTGGAACCTTTCCTGGATCCGCCCCTACACACAGGGTTAAGGTGGTTATGGTGCAATGAGTGCACAGTCACGAACACAAATGATTTTTTGTTCTGTTTTTATGGCTTTTGTCGACTCAGTGCCTCAGGATGCACGTACTTTGGATCGCGTACCTGGAGTCGCCCGAGCACGGTAGCTGCACAGCTGCTGACAGTTGCCGGTGCGCCTCTCGTCCTGGCCGCTGTGACCGTTGCCATACCACCACTTACGCTCATCTACTTTCCCGCCATCCTAGTGTACTTTGTAAGTGCGATACTACCTGGATGACGCACCATTCGACAGCCTATACAAATTATCAAGTGTAGATATACAAGACTGTGCAACTCGCGATGGGTTCGCCCACAGTGGAATTTTTTGTTGACGTAATCTTTTCTACGACGCACGCACTGCGAGTCTTTTGGAAAGTTTTGCCTCGTGCACTTGGCCAGACTTAACATCACAAAGTCGGTGGGCAGCACGTGCTCTCTCACTGCTGTGCGGCAAAATGCGCGTTTTTCTGCAAAAAGGTGACGTCAACAAAAAATTCTGCCATGGGCCAGGGTATCCGCGGCTTGTGCAGGAGACATCCGGTGTTGCACACTTTTGTTTATCTACTCTTAACGTTATGATAGGACATCATCGTTCGAGTTGGTTTGTCTGTTTCTCTCCATCTACCTAACGTATCTCTCCATCCCCATCTCTGCCTCTCTTTCTCTCTCTCTCTCCCTCTCTCTCTCTCTCTCTCTCTCTCTCTCTCTCTCTCTCTCTCTCTCTCTCTCTCTCTCTCTATTTATTTCTCTCTCCTCTATTTATCTCTCTACCTTACACTTACCTGCATGCCAATCCACGTGTATCTTTTCACTCACACTTGTGTCCCGACTATCCAGGTATCTACATCAGGTGACAAGTCACCAGCGCGCAAGTGCCTGACCATCGTATGGTCTGCAGTGGCTGGTCTTCTCCTCTCTCCAATTGTGGCGGCACTTGGCATAGTACTTGCTATACCGCTTGGCCTAGTGTACGCCTGCGGGTACATACCATACAAGATGGTCAAACGCCGGAAACCGTCACCGCATCGCTTCGGCATCGATGTCGATGACGCTGAGTTGTGTCTGTACACGACGGACGACCCGGAAAGCGACGCCAGGATGCTGGTCCCCCCAGGTGCCAGAAATAAAGTCCGAGATGCCCCCGAGGTTGATGTGTAGCGTGGCGTCAACAGTGGAGCGTGTGTTTTGGTCTGTAACCATTATTCTGATTTCGAATTCATCATCTCTACACTGTTTAGTAATCCCGTAGCTATGGAAACGACGTTACTTCAGTAATGTCTGGCGCTAGCCAGTGTCCACACAACTTTAATTTTGGTGTTCACTCATTCGTTTGTTTGTTTGTGTCACGCCTGGCGGTATCCCGTATCTGTCCCGTACCGTACCATACCATCTAAAACAGCTGGCCACAATATTCAATAGGGCTTTCAAATGCAAGATTATAACGTGACGCAACTTGGAAGAATTAGTATGTATGCGAAGTGTATCGGGGGATGCATGCAGGGCGATAGTGCGGGTTCGAATTCCAGGTTATGTCCTGAAAAAAAAATGGGAGAAATGAAAATGTTATACCCAGTAGCATCCCTAGGCCCTATGCTTTTTTTTGCCTAGGTCATCAAGGCAAAAAGCATAGCGTAGGGCCCTGGTGCTCCTTTTTACTTTTTATAATTCTTTATTATTCTTTATTTCCACGATGGTCCATGGCCAATAAGGAAGATAATATGATTCAAATCAGTCCAGAATCATGTAAAATCAGTCTAGCAAGTAAGGAAACCAACACATTGCAGGGGGATGGGGTTACGATGGGGTGCAGTGTGGGCTACTACAGGAGCATATGGATGATAGAATGAGGGTAGACGCCATTGATTTAAACGCATGCTTGCTATTCTGTCCCTCCAGGAAATCGCGATTCCACGGATGCAACAAATTTCGCGATTTTCGCCCAAACCCGCGATTTCCCGCGTTTTTTATTGTTTTCTGCACTATATCTCACTTTTTTATGCACTTTACACGCAGTGCTTTCCATGATCCTGTAGGTTATTTGCATAGTACGACTCGGACTACTCCCGAGTAGATACACGATGCAACAAATTTCGTGATTTGGCCCAAATCCGCAATTTTCTGTAAATAATTCCGCGAATTCCTGGCAAGTTGTGCATCATTCCGCACTTTTCGTCGCATTTTTTGTTGTTTTCTGCCGCAATTTCTTGCGCAAGTTTTCGAGAGTTTTTTCCGCAAATTCCCGCAGGGACTGGCTATTTGTTTCACGCAGGGGGGTAGTTGGTTGAAATTGTGAAGGGACAGGTTGATGGGTGAGTTGGTGTGTCGGTATGTGTGTGATGTTCTCAATGTGTATGTGTAATGGGTAGCCGAGTGGTAGGCGCGGTGAAATCCGGCAACAAGAATTAGTTTTATTCTACTTCTTTCAGGTACACACCAGAGATATAATTCTTTCAGGTACACACCTGAGATATAATTATTAGTGAAAGAAGAAGCGGCAAAATAAATAACTTTCTCTCCAGTGCTCACCTAGAGGTTGACTACTTCTTCGAGTTAGCTTTCGTTGCTATCTAATCTAATCTCATTAAAACAGAAATGCCCAGCCGCTTTAATGCAGCAGACGCCGTATAGGCCTTGACGGATTATGCTAATATTTTCGTGAAATTATGCTTTTCGCATTGCTGAAAAAATCGCAGAATTATGCTATTTTTATGCTAAAAGTTATCATTATTATGCCGCATTATGCTCACATGTACATATGCTGCTGATGTATATGATGGTTCTGTGCAAAATACCAGGGGAATTGTTTTGTTGAGGGCGTTGTACTGTAGTAGCAAAAGTTCAACGGGGTCACCGCACCGTCCGGACGCGTCCGACCTAGCTACAACCGTCACTGATTGTAGTGGACTGGACATGTTATCAAGGGAGTCGTAAACCTACGACTTCCTGGTGCATCTACTTGTACTTGTAGAACATGTACAACTGTATGGAATTTGATGCGAACAGGCAGATTATTCCAATTTATGCGATTCATATGCAATTTGCCTCGAATTATGCGATTATTCGATTTTGGTAGAAATTATGCGAAAAATTATGCTAGCATAATCCGTCAAGGCCTAACGCCGTACGCTTACATGTAGGCCCCTTGCACACTACGTACAAGTAAAAAGTTGCATTTTAGCGTATGCGTCACTTTCGAGCAAGTCCCGATCAGTTCCATTGCACACTTGAAAAGACATTTTCGTTTTAATAAAATACTCATAAAATTTTTTTGGCAACTGCCGCCTCACCGGTGTTGCATGGAGATAGTGCGGGAAATTTTAAAAAATTTTAAACTTTTTTCTCCGAGCTTGGTCTGCAGAAATGTTTGTCGAGTGTTGGTGAAATGCTATCACTTCGACATGGATCTGCGACTTCCCATCGAATGCCATGTCCACGCCAACACTCCTAGCATACAGATTGAGGTCTTCAGCGATCTCTTTCTCCTTCTGTGACCTCTTCTTCATCGTTCCACTTTTCTCCCGCTGGTAGTGTGCCCACAGCTCGATCAACTTCCCCTCCATCTCATCATTGAACACACCTTTCGGCATGCTGAACTTCATCTTCTCAAACTAGCTTCAACGCGACAGAAGGAAACAAACAACGTGCAACTACACAAAACAAGGAACAAATCGAAAGGAAAAAAGAGCTGACGACAAGAGTCAAGAAGTCTCACGGAAGGACAGGTGCAAAGCAAACTACGGTCCAGAAATGCAAATAAAACCTAAACGCGCCTTTGTATATCCGTCTGGAATTTGCTGAATACGTTTGCGCAACATTTTAGGTTTCCCGCGAAAAGCAGACCGTTTGCATGGTAACTTTTACAGGAACGCAACAAAAATGGGATTTTCTATGTAGTGTGCAAGGGGCCTTACATACGGAGATACACTAAATATACATCAGGCAAAGCTCCGTAATAGTTCCGTACTACTTCCGTATTGGTCGGGCAGGGATACTACACCCTCCCTTCCTACAGATAATCACGCCCTCGTGATTTTCAAAAAAAATAGTGAAGAGTTATGAACACAGCGTCAACCGGAAGATGGCAAATTATATCGGAAATGATAACGTTTAGAGTAGACAGAAGAAATGAACTGATGACAAATCATAACATAGAAGTTAAAGCACACCAGGTTCACACGATCTCTCGGGGTCAAAAGGGAAAGAATGGTCCTCCAAACAGGACGTGAAAGACAGCCAAATTTCTGCACATCGCGGGCTCAAACTGCCAGGAAATTCACAATTTCAAAAAAAAAATGCACTGCATCGTGGGAACTTACTCCGGTCCACACCTGGAGTGTTTTGGTTTGGTTTGGTTTTTATTATTTCAGTTCGTTGCCTCAACAGTACAAAGTACAAATATCAAGAGGGACGAACGAAAAGAGAAAATAAAACATAGCTGAGAGGAAGATGCAACTGAAAGGAAAGAAAAACGGAGAAGGAATGTGGACTGGGCGGATTCATGAACCATTACTAGAGCAGGGCAATGCATGAACAGAAGGGGCAAGTCCGTCGATATTCATGTTTAAAAAATGTAAAAGGGGATTCTCACACACTTCTCTCACCAGGTTACTGAGGTAAACCGTGGCTCACCATGATCGGACGCCTACCAAACTAAACTGGATTCACACACTCGCATAAAGTAAGACTGAAGAGAATAGGGAGACTGAAGGAAGACAGGAAAGAAAATGCCATACCTGGAATCAGCGTTAGTAACCACCGCGGCGGCTGGAGCTACGGCGGAGGGCAAGCCAGGTTTTATCTTCATCTTGGTTGAGCCGGTCACTCAGAGCGGCTAGCTCGGCGTCAGACAAATGACCTCCCTCCTCGTCTTGAATCGTGGTCTTCACATTGTCGATAGCATCGCTTTGCGCGACGTAAAGAGTGATGGTCTAGCCAGGAAGAGTGATGACGAAAATCTGCATCCCACTACGGAGGCAAAGTACCAAGTGAAGAGTGGGCTCCTGCTTCCGACTGCGTGCCGGCGAAAATCAAACGCTGCTGGTCTTGGGGACTACCCTCCTTGTCTTGGGCAGCAGACTGCCTGTCGTCGTCCTCATCAGCGTCGCCATCACCACCGGTAGTATACATGTGGGTAGCGGGTCGCTTGGAATCGCCATCGGAGTCTCCAGTGTGTGCCGTGCGGAGAGAAGGGTGATCCACGCTAGCACCCTGACTGTGCTGCAAGCTAATAAGCAGGGCCAGGCCCAGGAAGGCAAGAAACATGATTCTCATATTGATTCGTCGCAGGGAGCTGCAGCGGGTTGAGCCATGGGGGTCTGGGGTCTATTCATTTTGGTTTTTTTTAAACTACACCGCTGCCACCAATGTAATGGGTAGCCGAGTGGTAGGCGCGGTGAAATCAACAAGAATTACTTTTATTCTACTTCTCTCAGGTACACACCTGAGATATAATTCTTTCAGGTACACACCTGAGATATAATTATTAGTGAAAGAAGAAGCGGCAAAATAAATAACTTTCTCTCCGGTGCTCACCTAGAGGTTGACTACTTCTTCGAGTTAGCTTTCGTTGCTATCTAATCTAATCTCATTAAAACAGAAATGCGCAGCCGCTTTAATGCAGCAGACGCCGTACGCTTACATACGGAGATACACTAAAATTAATATACATCAGGCAAAGCTCCGTATTAGTTCCGTACTACTTCCGTATTGGTCGGCCAGGGATACTACATACTTATGTTCTCATGTCGTAGTGCATATGGCTGCTCTGTGATTGGTCGTGCAAGGTGAGGCTGTTGCAGGTGAAGGGGAGCGCGGATGTACTTGATGTTGTGGGCAAGAGTAATCTGTCGTAAGAGTTGCCAGGAGACTAATGTGGGGAGATGATGTAGAAGTGAGCTGTGATGGACTGGTGCAAAAAGGGGGATCCGCAAGCAGATACGGGCTGCTCGTCGCTGAGCGCGTTCTAATTGGTCCTTCTGTGTGCGGGTGGTGTTGGATAACACGAGACTGCCGTACTCTATAACCGGGCGAATGTAGGCGGTGTAGATTACGAGCAGACTGGGGGTGTTAAGTTGGCCTCGTGTTTTACGAAGTTGGTTAAGGAGTTTTTTGGATTTGTTTATTATGTGCGTGACATGTGAGTTCCATTGGAGGTTGTTTTGTAGTATGATTCCAAGGTGACGGTGTTCTTTGACTTGCTTTAGGGGTGTGCCGTTAAGAGTGATGTTGAGTTGATGGTTTGGTGTGAACGACAAGGTAACGGTCTTTGAGGCATTGACGAGGAGGTGCCATCTGCGCAGCCAGGTTGCGGCAGCTGAAACGGCTGACTGCAGGGACAACTCCGATGTCAAACGGCTCTGGTGTGTTGCGATGAGCGCCATGACGTCATCTGCAAATAATAATTGGCTGCACTTTGTGTTCCAGTTGGTGCAGGCAGAGGGCAGGTCA